GGTAACAATTTGTGAAGGTTATTTCATTTTTAATTTGATCTCAAGGGAATATTCAGACGTTTTTTCCGTGATGTTTTGGTCTTTTTGTTTATGTGGCTACATCCCAAGTGATAATGACACGACAACATGCCACAATATACCAGCTCATATATGTTCGTGATCTACTTGGTTACTTCCCTTTCGAAAGAGTTGTTAGTGTCGCATGTTTGTTGTTTACCATGTTAAGAAAACTCGTCTATGGATGGTTTAGGTTCAGCTTTTATGGATCCAATGAATACAGCACCACAATGTGCAATTATACAGAAGTTACGGAACTGAAGTTTACAGCACGAAAAAAACCTCCAACACCAACGACGTCTTGCTGCTGCTTCATTTCCACCCGCAACGTCGAAAAGCACGCAATATAAATATAATTGTTAAGACTTTGAGTTAATAATATCAAAGGTAGGTATGTTTTGAACTGTATGAATACGCTACTTGAAAGGAAAATAATTTTAAAATAAAATCATTCATAAAGTATCATTAAATATATTATTCCTCATATGGTGTACGTTAAGAAGAACTGAACTGCCTTTTATGGAGTGGAAATCAGAGGAAGGATTAAAGTAGAACATAGCTGACTATTTGATGTGTTCTTCTCAGATTAAATAAATTAATGTTATTATTATTATTCTTTTTTTTTTAAATAGTCAGACTGAATCCCAGTTTGTTGTTTTTATAAAAAAAATCTTTTTTTTTCGGCTCTCTCATAGGCAGAGACTTCACACTACCTGATTAACAAATGTGCTTAACACGCCTAAAGTAGTGCAATTTTTTTAGTTTTAACGCTGACTGAATGCAAACAATAATAAACCATCGTCATTTCAGCATCTAAAAGACGCAAGTGCAACACTGCGATGAAATAGAAAATAGTATACTTCGTTTATTAAGCTCGCCTTATATTTTTTGAGTAACGAGAAAAGTAAATTTTCGGTTGACGAGGAAATATGCTGATTTTCTTTTCTATTTCGTTTTTCTCGCATTTTGCTGTTGTTGTTTTCATTTTTTGCAATTCACGTGTGCATCGTGCATGGTTGGGAAAAGCGTGTTTTATAAACAAAATTAACAGAAAAAAAGAAAAGTTAATGGTTATTCGTTTCGCTTTGATGGTTTGAAGGTATTTCTGGCGATGTAAGTATCACAGTCATTGACCTCAAACTGCAGTCATTTAGCTGGATTGTAAAGCGTTCTTTATGAACCTTACACATTTTTCGGGGACAAAACAAATGTGTATATTTGTAGTTGTTAAGCTCATTTGTATTGGTATATTCAAATCGTGTGATTTTATACTTTAAAAATCAATGTTAATACTGATTTTCAAACAGAACTTGAGATTACAATAACAGCAATAAACAAATTAATGACAATATATAATAAATACATACATATATATGGGGTTTTGGTAATTTGATTTGCTTTATAACAAAATAGTTGCTTTAATAAAATGCATATTTCAATTATGAGTAAGTTTTGTGTTTTCCTTGTACCTCTTTCTAAAACCGCAAAAATGTTACATAAACTGTGGTTTATGGATGATTTTGCAAAGCTTTAATAACGCTGCTGACCTTATGCCAAAGGCACTTCATTTTTTTCGCAAAGTAACGACCAAATTTTATTCGCCAGCCCAGACATTTGGCTAGCGGTTGTTAGTTGCAGCTGTGGCATACCTATACACAACGAACACACAGTGAGGAAAAATGATTGCAACGAACTGTTCCATGAAAACCTAAATCAAAGTATCTAACCAAACAAACTATTAATTATCCATATTTTGTGAAAATATTAAATTCGGATATTTAATAGAAAAAAACACACTCAATATTTGATGGGAATGAGACTTTAAAATACCATTGAAGTCTGTTTTAAAACTGAAAGTGATGAAAAATGTGTTGGTATTTGTTTCGCTAAGAATTGTTCAGCATGGCGTATAATTAACATGGAAAACCCCAATACGCAATGGTTAACAAGCAACAACGATAAAAAAGCAAGAATGTGACTCGACACAAGTTAACGCACAAATCAATTATCGCTAGATATTGGTTAAGCAATTGCAAATTAACATTATGTACCTATACAAAGGTTATGTGCAAAAATATTAAATCAATAAACTGGTCAAACGTGATAAAATTCAATTCAATTCAAGTATAAGGTATATTTTGTTAAACTGCTTCAGATCACAAACAATAAACTTAAATCTGTATTGCTTTAGTATTTGATAGGCTCCATGAAGATGCTTATTTGAAATTATAAATAGGATCTAGGTTTTGTTTAGCAATTTTAAGTATTTTAATTAGTATTTCGTCATGCTTCAATATCTTTGCATTTTATCAAAATTCTGCGTTATAAAGACAAATACAATTTATCTCGATAATTGTCATATTTCCCTTTTTAAATACGCATTCCTATATTTTTCATGAATATGTTTCATGTTTGTATTGCAGCCGCATTATTTTAACATAAAATATTTATATCATCTACCCGGATGAGATATTTGAAGATATTCATTTTTTCTCCCAGCAAATAAATAATTCAAGATATTCATTTGATTTGACTAGCATCTATTTATTGCCTTGGAAATGTTGAATTGAAAACATTAGACTGTCTGTTGCCTGTGTTGATGAGATTAAATTCAATTTTCCATTCAAAATGGTTTTTATCTATTATTGCAATCGGCAGCGTTGGCGGCAGAGCTAATTTAGTGATTTTTTTCCATTTTTTAAGTTTTCATTGAAAAGTCTCAAATGTCATTTTCACCCTTTATTGCCACGAACAACGGCGACGCAGATGATAATGATGATCATGTGCCACAAATGGCAAAACTCATTGACTTCATAGCGATGGATGGCTATGGTTAGAAGAAAGAAAAAAAGCTTTTAAGCTTTTTATTGGATTTAAGCTTCCATTTTGAGTTCAGCACTTACTTATACATACACACACGGCGGTGGTGTAGTGTCCAATATTTTTTATGTCAACAATAATTTACACTAGTCCCTTTTTTTACAATATTGTTTGGATATGCCAACTTATAGCCACAAAGCTTATAAATATGACTATAATCATCGAAATCCTCAAAAATTGTGATATATTTAAAATAGTGGTATTTTCCTGTTTTTACTACGATAACGAATTTCCCTTTATGATATTGAAGAAAATAGTAAAATCTAGTATATTCTTGCAGTGCCTGAACAGATCATACGGGAACAAACCCAAAATGTTTTTCTTGCTCATCGATAAAGAAGTTCGAATATACAATTTTGATTAGAATCAAGGTGTATTTAATAAGGTGTATGCATCAGATACAACAACAAATATTTTACAAAAACAACATTGTTGTTATAGAAATTAAATTGTCATGCTGACAATAAGTTTTTGACAAAAATAAACAAAAACAATTATTAATTTATTTTTGCCAAGAACTATTCTTTGAGGAATAATTAATGAATTTGTGTATTCTTGGGTTATTGGCGGTTTTAGGTCAGTGAAAAATAAAGTTTACGACCTGGTCGTGATTAATTTTAAGTTGCCCACATGCAGCCTTCTTAAAGAAAATTAAAGGGACATAAATCCCCGATCAAAGACTAAATCATGGAAATTGTGTTGACCGTATAAAATCTTTCCTTAGTCGTATTTAACCTCTGCCGAGGATTGTGACAAGCACTAAGGGGCCGATTCCAATATAGGCTAACATAATCTCCTCGATTTTATGAATTGACAGATTTCCATACATAACAATAAATATGTGGACTAATCGGTGAACGGTGTTATAACTGATTTAAGCCTAGGTTTCCTTTCCGTCCGCCTCTGCGAATGTAGTTTTCTTGAATTTTTATTATTAAAAAATCATACATTTAAAGACCATTCATGAAATCGAAATATAATATTGAAAATGTTTTTGACAATTTACTTTACAAACAATAAAGAAAAAAGTTTAAAACCATATGATTGTCACTTACACCTTATTAAATACACCTTGATTAGAATTATATAAACAAAATAGTCTTAAAATTTAAGTAATTAAGACGTATATACGATGTATACTTATATAAAGCACCCAAGTAAAATAAGACATGGGTGTAAATGGATTTGCGGTGTTACAGGGGTTGCATTACCGATACATTCAAAATGCAAACCCACTTACACAAAAACAACAACTTTATTATTATTATTATTTTTTTTTGCTTTTTTCGAGTTGTTTGTTTTTATTTTATTTTACGGCTTTTGCTTTACTAACAATTTTCGTCTACTGTTTTTGTTTCTCTCTGACGATCGGGACCGACAAACAAGTTTGGTAATTGATGGATGGAAGGGAGGGGTGCAACAAATGACAGACTACGGACTTGATTCTTTTTTTTCGTTTGTACCTATTTCGAGTTGGTTCGGTCGGTTGTGCGCCGGCTGAGGTGTTTTCGTAATGGTGGTGCTGGTCGTTTGGTTGGTTGCTTTGGATGAATTGCTTTTTAAAGTTGTTGGCTGGCTTGGTTGTTTTTGTTTTCGGTCCACAACACACAATCACACTGAAAAATAATTTTAACAAATCTGTAGAAAAATCTGAAACTCAATGCCCGAGCAATTGCAGACGTAGAGTGGCAGTCGTTGTATTAAGACGTGTTTTGCGGATCCACAAACCACAACCAATCAACCAACCAACCGAGTCCAACCCAAGTTTTTGTTCAATAATTGTAATTTCATATCTCCAAAAGAAGACAAGTTTCATATTTCGTTTGTTTTTTTTTTATTTTCTGCAAACAAGAAACTGAGTTCAAGCCTTAAACTGAAAAAAATAAATAAATTAAAGAAAATTCCTTTTACTTTTTCTTCGTTCCCATTTGCAAAGAAAAATTGTTGAAATCAAAAGAAAGAACTCGTTTAACGGAAACAGAAAGGAAAAGCCGTGTATATATTTGTGATTTTTGTTTTGTTGTTTTTATTTTTAGTTAAGAAAAGTTAAAAAAGAAACATTTCGGAAAGTGTTGCGAAAGAAACCTGTGTAGCGGATATAAGTAAAATTTAAATGACCGAAAAGGATACCGCGTCAATGACAACCGTCCAAATGAAGGCCGACTATGCCGCTAGCGAGGTCTATAGCACCGCTAGTGAGCCACCACCGGTAAGAATTTAAAAAAATCGTAAAACACATACACTGACACTTGTTACATACAAGGACTATTTAATTTTATAACACAGAAGAGGGTTAAAATTTCTTTTGAGTAACTTCTTTAAAAATTGTCTTAGCTGACGAGATAAGATGTTCCGAAAGATTTTAAACAAAACGCATCACTTGCTGAGGACTCTGGACATTTGTAATTTGCTACGAGTTATTTCCCGATTATAGTTATATAATTATTAGTTTGGTCTCATTTTTATATATCGGAAAAGTTTTAATTCACCATATACGATTCGTTGTCATTATGCCTATGGTCTTAGGTATTAATTCAACGAAGGATGTTGTGTGAAATCACGAATGAAAAATTCAGTATTGCAGTATTTCTGTAAACTCAGTCATAGGTCTGTTTTTGAGAAAAATAAAGCGAGTCCTCGATTCCTCTCAAACTTTGATCGTCTCAACATGTCCAACAAACTTAAATTGAAAAGGGAAATGGACAATACCGGGCGTATTATCTGGTAATTTGTCTGAAAATCTTAACATATATGTCCAAATATTATCAATGTGGGTCTACTTGTAGTAAAACATTATCGTTCTGTCGTTAGCACATTTTCTATTTGTCAATTAGTTAAATACGAGGTTCCATAGAGAACTAAAGAAGGAGTTAAAATCAAAATATATCTAAGATTTTTAACATAGCCAAAAAATTTACAATCCCGATTCCCGTATGATAAATTATAGGTATTTTTCCATTACTAATACATTTAATTAATTAATTTTCAAAACAATAACTGTCAAATTAGTGACATAATATTGTTTTGCTGGTTGGAATTCGTAATGAAGGAGAAAAATAAACTTAAAATGTTACTAGACTTTTCTTTGCAAATGCCGCATTCGGTGTCATCATCTTCATATATTCAAATGTGTGGTATTGCAAATTGTCTTCGTTTTAACATCAAAATAAAATACAATACAACCTGATTTTTTTATATTGCGAGATATAAATCGAATGTCATCAATAGTATGCAGATGTTATATTTTACATATTTTCTATAACTTTTAAAATCCCATTTAACAGTTCCATAAAAACGTTAAGAAATACTTTGAATTTTTATGGTATAGAAATCCATTATTATGCAAATTGTTGGATATTTTATCCAGCTTGCAACGGGATACAACAATTCACCCACAGCAGTTTAAGTTAAAAAACCCGATTATATTTTATTTTCGTTTTGTTAACTTGCAGATTCTTACAAAAAAACATACTTCGATTGTCATGCCCCAATGCGCTAAAAATATTCCAAATGACCTTTGAAACAAAGTTTTTACTTTCCGCTGTAAGAATACCTTGAATCTGGGTTAGTGGTGTTTTGTTTTACGCTTTATTGCTCAATACGAAATATCTACTTCATGGCGGATTCTCAACTCAATCTCTGATTGCATACAAGCGTCTCTTAAATAACCAGTAATTTAGTCTGTACATACATACATAAAACGAATTGATGGATGAATGTACAAAAAAAAAACACAAACAGCAGAATAATTTTACTTCTACTTCTTCTTCTCAACGGCATTGTTTGATTTTCTTCATCTACTCGTTTATGTGGATATTTCTCAAAAGCTGCGTGCCAGTTCCAATGTTTTTTTTTTGTTTCTTCTTCTACAGAAAAAATGCCATGGTCATTTTTTCTGTAGAAGAAGAAACCAATGCTAGGAAATTCAGTTTGTTAATCGGATTTTTCATTTTCATTCTAGTCAGTCAAAAGAACTTTTGAAGATATTGCGGCGATTCAGAGAAACTAGTCACGTTTATTAAAATTGTATGACGAATGATCAGCATTTCAATGGATAGATAAAAATCCACTAATCACCGTTTTCATTATACCCTTCACCACACTGTGGTACAGGGTATTATGTCTTTGTGCATATGTTTGTAACAGGCAAAAGGAAACGAGATAGACACATGGTTCCTTTTGAGAATATGCATAGAATCACTTTCTGAGTCGATTTATGCATGTCCGTCCGTCCGTCCGTCCGTCCGTCCGTCCGTCCGTCTGTCCGTCTGTCCGTCTGTCCATGTTAAATTGTAAACAAAGTACAGGTCGCATTTATGATCCGAATTGGATGAAATTTGGCATAGGTCACTTATTCGGCCCAAGGACGAACCCTATTGAAATTGGGAAAAATCGGTTCAGATTTAGATATAGCTCCCATATATATATTTAACCGATTTAATGTAAACGGTCCCTATATATCTTTCGATTTGCACGAAATTTGGTACAGCCTAATCATTTAGGTCTAGAATGATGTCTGCCAAGTTTCGTGAAAATCGGTGCAGATTTAGATATAGCTCCCATATATAGTTTCGTCCGATTTCATGTAAATGGTGCCCCAAAGTCCCTATATATCTTTTGATTTGCACGAAATTTGGTATAACGTGCTGAATTAAGCCCAGAGTGATGTATGCCAAGTTTGGAGAAAATCGGTCCAGATTTAGATATAGCTCCCATATATAGTTTCGTCCGATTTCATGTAAATGGTGCCCCAAAGTCCCTATATATCTTTCGATTTGCACGAAATTTGGTACAGCCTAATCATTTAGGTCTAGAATGATGTCTGCCAAGTTTCGTGAAAATCGGTCCAGATTTAGATATAGCTCCCATATATAGTTTCGTCCGATTTCATGTAAATGGTGCCCCAAAGTCCCTATATATCTTTTGATTTGCACGAAATTCGGTATAACGTGCTGAATTAAGCCTTGAGTGATGTATGCCAAGTTTGGAGAAAATCGGTCCAGATTTAGATATAGCTCCCATATATAGTTTCGTCCGATTTCATGTAAATGGTGCCCCAAAGTCCCTATATATCTTTCGATTTGCACGAAATTTGGTACAGCTTAATCATTTAGGTCTAGAATGATGTCTGCCAAGTTTCGTGAAAATCGGTCCAGATTTAGATATAGCTCCCATATATAGTTTCGTCCGATTTCATGTAAATAGTGCCCAAAGTCCCTATATATCTTCTGATTTGCACGAAATTTGGCATAACGTACTGAATTAAGCCTAGAGGGATGTCTGCCAAGTTTGGAGAAAATCGGTCCAGATTTAGATATAGCTCCCATATATAGTTTCGTCCGATTTGATGTAAATGGTCCACCAAAGTCGCTAAATATCTTCCGATTTGCACGAATTTTGGCATAACGTACTGAATTGAGTCTAGAATGATGTCTGCCAAGTTTCGTGAAAAAAGGTCCTGATTTAGATATAGCTCCCATATATAGTTTCGTCCGATTTCATGTAAATGGTGCACCAAAGTCCCTATATATCCTTCGATTTGCACGAAATTTGGCATAACGTACTTAATTGAGCCTAGAATGATGTCTGCCAAGTTTCGTGAAAATCGGTCCAGATTTAGATATAGCTCCCTTTTATTATAGATTGATTTTAAGTAATTGACGTACTAAGGAACCAATTGGAATAAAACGTTCTGAAAGTTGTATAACCTAACCTGTGACAAGTTTGTTTGAAATCGCTCAATATTTGGATAGAGCTTCCATATATATTTTCGCCCGATTTCTAGTAAATTGGGCATCAAACTCCTCATGTTAGTCAGATTGACATCAAATTTTGCACAACTTAAAAAATTGAGCATAGAATTACGTAGTTGCGTTTTCTAGAAGTGCAGACATAGCCCAACGGATGACCTATTTATATTTGTTTGAAGTCGATTGACATACTTTATGGATAGATCTAGGTAGATTCACATTTAGATAAATATCACATTTTTTTCATCCAATTTTATGTTATAGTCCTGCTTAATATACCCATAGTGGTGAAGGGTATCATATAGTCGGCCCCGTCCGACTTTACTACTTTCCTTACTGGTTTTTCATTAATTTAACTTATTCATGCTTATTATACTTATTATTTTCTGAATCAAATTTTTGCAATATTAGAGAAGAGATTTTTTTCTAAACATAAACTAAGAGTGAAATTCTAAATCGATTATGTTTACAATACCAAAATAATATCTCTTTTACATCCTAGTTAAAAAACTTTGTATTTGTTCATCAAATGGGCCGTGAATATTTATTTTAATTTAATTATGTTTATCTGACAGTCTGAGTAATAGTGTATATTACAAATAATTTCTAAAAGTAAATAGAGCTACTTTTGTATATTCTCACTAAATTGTAATTTATCAAAATGAAAACAAAACGCATACTCTGTTATTATTAGCATTTATTTAAATGCAACGTAAATTTAAATGCTTAGCCCCTAATGAGATAATTAACATTTTTATTTACCTAATGAGTTCACTTTATGACAAATTAGTAGTTGCAGTAATTTGCTGTCAAATGAAGTGTCATATACACAAGTTTAAGATGTGCCTTGACCCTTATTAGGGATGATATAAATGAGGCATATGTCATATTTAAACCACGTGTAAATAAGACGCGCCATTTAAATTCATAAATTCCCTTTAAATGGCATATCTTTATAAAAAAAATTGTAATTTAGTAGTGCGTTTAAGTTTTGTTGAGGTTATGATTACATTATTTACACTAATATTGCAAATGGTTAGGAAAAGTCATTCAGTAACCTTTGCAAAATGTATGATGCGCATATTTAGATTTGGGTATTTCATATGACAAACAATTTCGATCATTACAAAACATTTTGAAACACTAAACAATCAGTTGATTACACTATGCAATAAAATTGAGCTCGTGGCCTTAAAGTTTTTGGTTTATGACGTGATACATTTTTTGCTTGTAACTCTAAATTATATTTTTAATTTTGGATATTGCAGATTTTTTTTTTTTTTTTTTTTTTTTGAGATGAACTGTCTTCAGTCAAATCAAAATTGTTTGTCATTTGAAATACTCAAATCTAAATATACATTTTGGAAAGGTTACTGCATGGTTGCAAAGTTTCAAGTTTACCGCAAGGTGAAAAGTAGAACAAGTAACTCAATAACACGATTATTTTGATGGAAAAATATGCAGAATAATATAAAAATTAAATGCAATCTCAGATAAAATTAAGTTCACCAGTTTCTTTAATAGCATAATAAAAAGTATAAAAACAAAGAAAACAATTACACATAATTAATATTCAAAACGAGAATAAACTTTCCATAGTGATGTTATATCAAAATCCAAATGTTATTTGTAAGGGGAGACATTACATTACAGAGTGTCAAAAAGATGATTTTAGACGTATAAACAAATTATAATATTCGCCGGCCGTAACGAATCAACGGCTTAGAATCATCAGAGCTTCAACATAATTTGCATTTCAATTATATATTACAGGAAAATTTTGTTAAGTAAAATATGAATGTAAATACAACTGAAAAAAAGTTTTTTGTAAACATTTTTTGCAAAGAAAACACATTAAGCGGGTCCATCACCGGCTTACAAAACACAAATTTAGCAACATCATCTTTCTAATGACTAAAGTGCCTTCATATATTCACACACACACATGCACACTCGTATGTACGTATGAACTACGATTTGCGGTAAAGTAATGTTGATGTCGACGATAAAACAATCACCTGTTTGACAAAAATTATTATTTTTATAGACTTTATGGCACAGGGAACCCATGTAGGAGCTGTACTACTAAAACGAAAAACAACAACAGCGGCAACACGTTGTCATTACAGAAATGTAAATTTTCCTAAATTGCATTGGACGACGACAACGACGTCAATGACGCTGAAGACTCCGACAATGTGCCCATTGCAAGCAACGTTTTATGATTACGACCAGATAAGAGTACTTAAATATGCGCAACAAATGCAAAAGACGTTTATTATCTTCATTTATTATCTGAAAAAAAAAACTGTTTGTAAATTTGCATGGACTTTGCATTCACAACCCGTTTCGATTTCAACGACTGCAATCGGCTAGTCTTTGGATTCGGCGTCGTTGTTGGAGAATCCGGTCATAATGTATGACGCATGTTTTATTTCTTTTTGGCCGCTGTATTTTAGTGTAATCTTGCGACATCCATAAGAGTAGGACCACAAAAGTACTTCCATAATGGGTTGAGGCGGAAGATGGATGTTAATTTATTCTTTGGATTTTGCATTTAAATGCGAGTTGTTTTTCTTTTTTGTATCATTATTATGTTTCGGTTTGTTGTTGTTTTTTTTTTTAATTAATGTGTCATCATTGTTTCCATTTCAGCCACCTTTTATTTTTTTATATTGATGGTACATTGAGAAAAATTATTAATCGAAAATTGTCGTTTAGGTGCTGATAAAACTAAAAAAATACTGTGAAATGTAAATTTATATTTTAGCCATACTTGTTAAATATTGGGGAATTTATCCTCATTCGATCTTTTTTTAATTTTCATGAAGAATTTGGAAAATTTACTTCTGCCAGTCGGGGTCAGCGAATTGAAGAATAATTTTGTCAATTGAATGAAGAAATTTATCCACTAAAAGCCTACAAGTTCAAAATCAATAAACATTTGAAAAAAAAACATTCAATAATATCATTTGTTTTGCAAATTCTTACTCCATTAAAAAGTGAACGTTTGTGTTATAAAATATTTTGATTTTTCGAAAAATGGAACACTACAAGTTTTATTTCCATTATAACAAATTTAAAATAATAATACAAGTATTTTACATAAATGATATATAAATATATATATATATATATATATATATAATTTTATTTTTATCATCATTATTGATTTCTCTAAGTGTAATTCATTTAAAATAAGCATGACGTGTTAAATAGCTACTGGTCATCATATTTTTTGTTTTGTTTGTGTACCAAACACACTTGCCTTTTATTTTTTCTCTTTTTGGGCCACAAAGCGTGTTACTTGTTTCATATTACCATATGTATATATATATGTGCATTTATTTTTTTTTCGTATGGCACAACATTTATAAAATTGAAATCAATCAGTTCCGGCAGTGGACTATAATTTTGAACTTAATGCGCCATTAACATTTTAAAATATTACCTTTGTAGTTACAACAAAAATACAAATTTAAAAATAAAAAAAACACCACCTCTTGCAATTATAGATAATTATAAAATATGTATTCAAAAAAAAAACTAAAAAAGAACACGTTTTATTCCCTGATAATTATCATGGGAAAGTCACGAATTTTTTTTGTGTGTTCAAACAATGAATTTTTAAAATGTTTATCACACATATTTTAGCAATATTGCTGATATTGTAAATATATGGTCTGTTCCCGTACTGCAAGAATCTACTACTTTTTACTACGATAACGAATTTTCCTTTATGTTATCGAAGAAAATAGTAAAATCTAGTAGATTCTTACAGTAAGAGAACAGACCAATAATTGTACAAATTTTATTAACAAAAATTTGTATGCTAATGAAATTCAGTGTAAAAAATCGTATTGCTGTTCATTTAGAAATTATTGGATTAGAATCAGTGGCGGGATTTCCCAACACTGTTCTCGTGAGGTGTACAGTTGTTTGAGTGGGATCATGAACAAGTAATCTTGCTTGTGATATTATTCCGTTCCATTGTCTGCTACAATAACTAGGAAATTGAGTTAGTTTTTTTATTATTTGAACTTTTGCATGTTGTTGCACAATAACAATTATTTTTTGCTTTGTATCTACACATTGTAATTAAACTAGTTTCAGATTCCTATTTGGAGTTTGCATAACTTAGCATTGATTTGCAATGTTTAAATGTACCGCAAAAGAAAAAGTGCCGGGTGTAATAGGGTTTGAAAAAAATTAAGGTTATTTAACTATTAAATCAAAATCAGATGTTTTGTATATGTACATATAGTGCGTTTTCTAGATAAAATAAACACACATGTGTTGATCTGATTCATAATATCGTCCAATGTTATTAATGTAGTATTGTTGATGGAGGCATTTTTTAATATATCTCTAAGCGAGTAGATCAACCAAACCAAGTTATTTTATCCTGTATGACCCATACATACAGGTCATACATTAATAACTCCGACTGTTTTTTTAAATCAATTCAATTAAATTTTATTAAAAGTACCTATTATTTACGATTTATATTATATGACAGAATACCCTCCAAATATGTAAAAACACTTTTGGTTTCATTAATAATAATGCTAATGGGGAATTATAAAAGTTTACTACCAAAAAAATAGAAAAAATCTAATTTGCACACACACACAATGTTATTTTTATACACAATTTTATAATGTTTTGTATGATATTTACCAGACACAATTATATATTTTCTTCGTAATAAATTAAATATTTTTAAATATCTTCTAATTTTCTCTTTTTATATTCTTGTTTTATACAAATCCCACACCAAACAAAAATATGTGTGTTTTTTGGCAAATGAATTGTTGTATCATCACCCGTCTCTCATAACTCCATTTACCCACCAAAAAAACTCCTATCCTATACACCAATCAACCAACCAACCAACAAAACATCGACCGCAATGTGATGGTATATTGGAATGAATCTCCCTTCACTTGTGGCCAAACCGATCATTGAACCAACCAACCAAACAACCAATCCAACCAACATTTGAATTGCCCTCAAAATCACAATCAAACAATTGCAGCTGGGATTTTTTAATTTTAATCCTCCACAGGTTTGTTGCTTAAGTCTTTCGTTTCAGTTCACTCGTTCAGCACTAACAAAAATTCATTTTCATAGTTGTGTTGTATTACTTCTTCTTCTTCTTGTTTGTCTGTCTGTCTCTGCCTCCACTTTGGCTTCTCATTTTTCTTGCACAAACCATAAAAAATGAAATAAAAGCAACTTTCGCAATTGCACCTCTGTTTTACATAGCCAGCACCATACCACTGAAAAAAAAACACAAAATAATTTATAATTAAAATGTCATTTTTTAAACTTTATTTTCTTTCTTATTTATTTTATTTTTTTGTTTTGCAAAATGGTAGTTTGAAACTCAGCCCTCGGTAATGGTGTTGTTTTTTTTTCAGTAGCTCTAAATAATGCATTTTTTTAGTATAGAAGAGAGACAATTAGTGTCTCTAGATGAGAAAAAACCCTACTAATGATGCTGTAGTAAAAAATACACAACAAAGAAAATTCACTTAATAATGAGAAAGGTTATAAAACAAATGCTGATGAAGATGATTGTAGACATTCACTTTTCTGTGGGCAGCCACTGTGACTATGGAGATGTCGTAAAATAAAATAATATTCATAATTAATTACATATTACTTGTTTCTGTCAGTGAGTGTGTTTGTATGTGTACATGTTAATTAATTTTAAAAATTGTATGTACACAAAAAAACACAAGATGGCATGACTACGATTTTTGTGTTGGCATTATATAGACATGGCAAGAAATAATGTTTTTTTTTGCATTTGTTGTTCACTTCACACCCTTTTTACAGTCGGTAAATTAAAGCCATTGTTTTGTTTTGCCATATAAATGCTGAAGTGTTTAATTTCTTAGAGTACTCTTTTGTAAATATTAAAAAAAAAATAACAAATATTTTCAGTTAGTTGAGCTAGCAAAAATCATTGAAATATGTTAATTTTTCTAACCTTAAATTGGGAGTGCCACCAAAAACAGTTTTTGTTTAAAAAACATTAGCAAATATATCCAAGCTGGTGTACAAAATCTGTTAATACCTTTTGTCAATAAAAAAATATTGTGAAAAATAGCTAAATTTGTGCAGGTTATTTTTTGTCGAGATTTTTCAAAGAAATGTCGTCATCTGTATTTTTTTAAATTCCCAAATTTGTATAACTTTGTTTGTTTATCACAGGGAGGATATAAAGTACTGGTATTCATGTCAAAAGTTACACATGTTGTACTACAGTGAATTTATATCGACTAGTATTAATTTTATTATTTTTTATAAGGTCTGTAATTATGATCGCACTTTAAACTCGCAAACAAAAGACACAGACTGTATTTCTAAGAAATTTTTCATTCATTTAGTTACATCGTTTTTAAAAAGTTTACTATAGGCAATAAAATAGCAATAACACAAAATACAACACAATTTACCGTTTCCATTAACAATAAAGCACTTTGAGTTTAAACACTTTAAGCCGATCTTAATTGATACTCTTAACGTTAATTTGTTAGTTGAGAAGAACTGCATATTCGCAAACAAATTAACACAAAAAGACATTTAAAATTGCAATGTTATATTGGCACATCTCAAATAAAACAAAAAACCTTCCCTACAACTTTATTTACTTGGTATAAATATTGAATTGTGAACTTGATATTTGAGTACACAACAGACGAGGCCATAATATTTTATGGTATTGTAAATAAATATTCCAATTTCACAATGACTCAGTTTTTTCGTATTTAAATTGAAAAGAGAAGTGCAAATTGCACAGAAAAAAAATCAAAACCGCAACATCAAATGGGAGAAAGTGAAAAAGTCTGTTTAATTGTGGCATTGGTTTCAAAAAGAAACAAGCAAACAAAATGTCAACATCATTAACTTATTTTTTGTATCAATCACAAAGACCATGTTTAAAATAGGATTATCAGTATTCTATAAAGAATTTAATTCTCATATATCGACAGAATAATATGTATCTTATTAGTCTATATATGTCTTTTTAGTTTTTCACCAAAAATACCATATGAAATGTAATCAACATGTAAATTAATGAGGACGCCAATTTATACAGCCTGTTTCTGTAAACTAATTTGAACTAACTTGTATTTATGTACCAAATATTATTTGATTCGAAAACCCAATAAATGGCATATTTTTGGAAACCAAGGTGTTTGGTTTACAGCACCAGGCTGTTAATTTTTACAATTTTAATGTTTATGTATATTATTCGAGAGATAAATGTGGGAATATAACTGAGAAAATTCGACCAGCATTTTATTGACCAACTGGATTTTATTTGACATATGTAATCATTAAACCGACAATTTAATAAAAATACAATTTTTGAAATAGATAGACATTTGAGTTTATATAAATTGAATATATTCAATTCATATATTAGTAAACTTACAAAAATTGTGCATTTATAGAAATTTTTCTATATAAAGAAGATATTATTCCACCTTAAAATTATATAAAAAGTGATATTTCTACAAGATATATAATAATAAAGGATGATAATCCACCTATTTCGAATATTTATATCCCAATCGATAATCTGCAACTTCTATTATTAATATTTGTACAATTTTCATGTTTTTTAATAATATATATTACAAAAATATATATATTATTTATATCAACATCAACACACCTGAACTTTGTAACAAGCAACAGCTTAACTTTTGATACAGCCAAATTTATGAACCCAATTCTTATCTGATTGCACAAAAATTGTAAATTTTAATACGTGATTGTCACAGAAAACCAAACAAGTACCTACACACGAATTGTCTCAAGTGAATGTTCGAATGTGTGGGTTGTGAGAGCGCCAATGCGCCCATCATACGATATGTGACTGATATCACAATGGAGAAAGTCTGAAAATTTCAAAAGGCCATATATAACATGGTCACAAAACTACACACAAAAATAAGTGAGGGCAAAGTTGGGGAAAAAAAAGCAAAATAGATTTATTGTATAAATAATTGTAGCAATTGTTTTTGTAATGTAATTTATTAATAACATTTTGTAATATTGTTTTGTTAACAATTATTTTCGTTTATTTCAATTGCGTGTTTTCTTATTTTATTTGAATAAATTATAATTTCATCTATTTATTATTTCAGGCTTACAAACGCCAATCGAATTCAGTGAAAATTGCCAAAATCACTGCATTCACCATCATCGTGTCTTCCTTCATATTGGGCGCCTTCATTTTGGCTTCGTCTTATTTGCAAGCCAAGGCATCATGTGATCAAGTACAGGCTCTTGATTCTGTTCTGGAAAAGGAATTGATGTTGGAAACATTGCAACAAGTCAATAAGGTAAGTCAGAGCTATTCAAATAGTCATTTGATTTCTAGAAATTGTTTCTAATAAAAAATAAAAACAAAACAAAAACAATAAAGAGTAGCTCGCAAAAACCCCCAATTAATTAATTTTCGTATGTCAGTAGAATATAATAATTATAATGCCTAAATTAATTCTCTGTAATGTGACTTTTGTACACTTTAAACAGGTTTTATTGGCTATAGGCAATAAAATAAAACAGTCAGATGTTTTAGACTTTTACCTAATTTACAATAGAATGATAAATGGAACGCAATTTTATAATTAGAATTTATTTTAAAGATAGACAGATAATTAATTATTTTAAATTTAAAAAATCATTATTTTTTCTCTTCCATTATTTATTCATATCGTCCACAGAACGAATTTCTCAAGATAGAAACAGGGTAGCTGCAGTTTCACAAAATTTTAAAGTATCTACGTACCAGCAACCATCATAATTTTCATTAAATGCCCGAAGCCCGATAAACTGTTATATTTATGTTTATATATTTATAATAAATTATTTTATATATTTATAGTAATATATTAAATTCAATACTTGTACAGTACTTTTTCATAGATCTCGTACACAATATTTGGTCTGAATATATTGATAGAGTATGTGGCATATTTTCAATGGAATTGAATACCAAAGAGTTTACTTATCTTAAAATAAAAATCCAAGCCTTAAGTTAATGGATAAGGAGTTAATATTATATATAATCATATAATTGTTTCCAGCATATTATTAAAAACTTCTCATATTGTAATTAAAATGTTCAAAAATCTGACTATCACCATATGTTAATATCGATATTATTTTGGGAAACATTAATGACCATACGTATATTCATGGTGAACTATTAAATTGTAATATAAAACCACAAACATTATTTGATAATGATGTTGCCAGCAAATGCTACCGCAACACAAATTATAGCAGAGAATACTTAAATAACGATTAGTTTCACAATAGATAAATTGCAGAGACAAGCATTTAACCAAAACATCAAATTGTCCGCACGTTTCATTGGGAGTCCAGTCCGGTTCGTTTCGGTCCGGTCCGGTCTGTACCATGGCACTGATTGGTGTTGTTGTTATTGTTTTATTTCTGCCATTTTTATCGTCAAGGTTCATCATCTGCAACTGAAAATTGCAAAGCACTTTTTTCTCCATGGAAACAATGGATTTTCCGCATGCAAATAAGCAATATCAAATGAATAAACCAGCCACACAAAATATTCATAGTTTCTCAACACATAGACGTTTACTTTGATAAATTGCTTAATAATAATGGAAAAATCTTTTATTATTATTAAGTATTGTTGTAGTTTTTCCCATTTCCTTCTATTCAACGAATATTAGACACGCGAAATTTTTGTTATTTTCATATTACGACAGCCGACAACATCATTATCATTTTGGAAAGATCAGTAAATCCGTAATTACCTAATAATATTGGTCTATTGTTTTGCTGCTGCGGTTGTCACAAATGACCGGTTATTAAACAAAATTAATTTCATGCTTTATTAGTTTCTATTTTCTTTTCTTGTTTCACAACAAAAATATGGAAAAGCCCCAATATTAAATTTTCTAAATGGTCTATAAACTGTAATTACTATGACAGTGAAAGATATATCTATGGGATTTGTTGGGATGATACATCACACACACATACATACACAAAGGCTAACCGCCTTAAACCATTAAGCGAAAGTTAAATGACCAATGATGTAAATGAACTTTAGTTGCTTTGGCTAGATTCTGTTTGATGATGATTAGTAAGAAGAGTAGGGTAAGGGAACCACTGGTTTGCCACAGAAAATACGTACATAGTACAAGTATGCATTGTTATGCATCATGTGACATTAGCTGGTTTAGGTTCACTGATGATGTCAGTTAGCGTGACCATATTAAGTTAACAATCAAATAACTATGAGAAATGGCGATCGCTGATTTACAACAAGTTTACAAAATATATTATGTAATGTTAAACTACATTTGTTTGTAAGGCATCGTTTCATTTTCAGTATGTATTGTTGTGACGTAATAATATGACGTTAAAACTGTCAGTTTTTTTAACTCCCACTATCTGAGCTGCATTGATTTATTCAAACCGGGAGTTTACGCAGGACATTTTTTCATCTTTCATTATTTAATGACAGTACATATAAAACTTTTAGAATTCGGAATGACATTGAGCAATAAATAAAATTCAAATTCGGAACATAGTATGGAAAATCTTTCTATTTCTGTCTTAAAATGTCCACTGCAAGAGTGATATTAGCGGTGCACAATATGCAAATCCGAGTGGAACACAGCCACCTTTTTTGGGTAGGGTATTTAACGAATAAAAATAACAAGATTATAAATCATTTCGTACCACCACAGAGTGAGTCTTACACATCACTTGAAACAATTGTTTCTTAAAAATCATTATTAAAATCGCTTCAGATGTCTTAAGGGCATATGAATTGGACCTTCATATAAAATATTTGAAATAATGAAGCAATTATTTGTTTACAATTTATTCAAAAATAGAAATACCACACGTTGTATATTGCACAACGATTGTTTTTTTTTCGGCATAGAGGAAGCTGGTGTCATCATCAAAATGGCCACCTACACAAGTTTGCAAATATATAGGAAGGCACTCGCACACTCACACATGCATACTAATCTATTGATGCGATACGGTTCACGACAATCGGCGAAACCTTTTCATAAAACAAACTAGCCACACAAAATTTAAACGGGCATATCTAAGTATGAATGTATTTTTTCACAAAACTAGAGCCATAAATTAAATGCTAAAATAGACTCACATATACATACCTACAGAAATGCATGGCTGAGATTAGTATCCGTTTGTATATTTGTTTGATTTTTTTTCTGCAATGAAGGTAACTTAACTAACAACTATTGCATGCATTAAAAATGCCAACAAACAATAACAACAACAGCAGTAATAATGAAATCAATGAAGCAAATTTCCATAAAACATGCAACAATTGATTTCAGCAAAACAATAATAAACCCAATTACAACAATGAGAGAGTGAAAAAAGTGATGGTGGCGGTAATATAGTCCCCCACTGTGGTGTACAATGGCAAATGCCCATAGTCAATAAAATGCAAATGTACATTTGGTGGCATGAACATTATTATTATTACTTGCATTTTTTCCATCTTTCTTTTATCTCAAATTCAATTATCGTGTTCGGTTGCAAAGAAAAGTTCATTTAAATATGAAAGATTGTGCCAAGTTGTTTCGTGAACTGTCAGGTCCAGTGATAATGATGACGGAGATAAAGTGAAAGCATCTGCAGACATTTGTTACAACAATTTCCAAAGAAATACAAGAAAAAAACCAGACAGACAGTCAGACAAACAAAGTAAACCACAAATGCCAAAGTTTATGATGTAGGAAAATTACAGCTTTAACCACAACTTGCCATATTGCAAGTTGGTCCAAACTCTGCAACTCATCTTTCTATATAAGGTGAGAGATTTTGACTGTTCAAGTGGCGGACATCTGTTAAAACAAAACAAAGAAGAAGAAAATAAAACAAAAAACAACAGCAAGCAAGATTTGCAAAGAAATCCCACAATATAAAAATGCAATTTTTGTGTGCCGATACATTGGTGCATGGCACCATTTGCACTTATTTTTTGTTTTTCTTCGCGGATTCATTCATTATGTGTGAATTCGTGGAGCCCCAAAGGCATTCGTATATCTTTGGATGATGTATGTGCTTAATGGAGATTGTTAAGCTGATATTTCCACCAAGTGAATTCAATTTTATATTCATAAAACAAAAACAGCAAATATCGTTGCAATGTGGTTTCAAAAAGGACAAAATTCTACACATTTGTCATTGATTTTTTTTAAGGAAATTGTAAACTGTCTTCGATATGATAATTATAGAATTTAGAGATCCCTAACTAAAAATTCACGTACTTAGTCCAAGCTTTTTTATTGAAATATTACAATCATCAATAGCTAAGTAACTCTTTTTAATAGAAGAAATTATTTTTTGTGTACTTTACTTTTTGTACAAAATACCAATCCTTCAAACTTACATTTTGGTTTTCAATTTGATTCACAGTACATCAAAACGGCCAATACATGTTGTTGTTGAACAATCGAGCTTGTGTCTTAAGTCTTTCGTTTTCTTTGGCAAACTTCTCTCATACACATAGAAACTTGGCTAGCTTGAGTATGTTTCTGTGTGAGTGAATGTTTGTTTTGTTAAATATATGTTTGTTTTCGTTTTTTTCCCTCTCAGTAGTTGTTGTTTCTAATTTATAAAATGTGGTCTTTTGTTATTATGATATACATACATACGTCTATGTACGCTTGTTTGTGTGTAATATTTGTACACAGATGGTGGTAGTTGTGCAAGTATGGATATACTATTTCGAAAATTGCTTTTTTGTTTCCATGATATTATGTAATAAAGCATTTTTGTCGCCATCATCTATCATCTCGAATGCAAGCAGACAGAAGCGACTGGTTTTTATGTCGAACATATCAAAGCCGGAATATCTTATATTTCGTTTTAGATCTGTATGTGTTGCTGTTTCTAAATTATCGCATTTGTCTGTGTTCTATTCTTCGTCTTTTGTTTTGGCAAATAATAATCACCTATTTGGTTTATTTTTATTGCCTGAAAAACTATTTGATGTCTCCGTTTTAGAATTTGCTAGAGAAAATTTGCGTGTTGGGATTTTTTTCTTTTTTTGAAATTTCCATTGTTTTGTATCGTATATAAGTTAATTAGTACAAGTGAGAATTTGTCTGTAGTGTATTTGTTTTGTTAATTGTTTTATATATATATATACATATATATATATATATATATTCATTAGTATGTCTCTTAACCAGTTTGTGTTTTTTGCCTTACCTGTATTTATCACAAATCTGTCGTAGTTTAATGGAAGATTTTTATTCTAATTCATTCTCCCAATAAAAAAATCAACAAAATGAAACACAAATCGTCTCAGGTATTAATTAATATCTCAACAGAAACGTCAATTATTTTTAATTGTCTTGCTGGCAATTAAAAACATACGTCTCGATAATAATTAAATATTCTTTATTCCGCCACACCAGCACCACTACTTGTCATGAAAGTCTGTCATGCATTGAAATGTGCCATTATGTTTCAATAATAAATAGTTTTGTTTTTATAATTATGTTGTTAGAGATTTTTTACTAGCATTTGACTGAAATTTGGTCAATGTATGGAGTTATAGGTGCAAGGGCTGATAAGTAGCAAATAGCATATTAAATGTGCAAGTAAATTTGCAATTTTGAATGAGAAAAGCTTTGAAAATGCTAATTCTCCTGATATAAAAACGCTCAAATAGAAAAAGAATGACTTGTAATAATACAAACCTTAACATTTCAACATATTCTGTATTTTTAATTAAATAATTTGCCAAACACACATTCAAAATATGTTTTTATTACACGTGTAAAATATACTTTGTACAGTATTTACTTTACCAACATGACTAGTACAAATGCCTCTTACTCCAGGTGTTAATTGAAACTGAAATTCACGGTTTACCAACCACAAAAAAGCAGCAGTGTTAATTAGAACAATTTCTAATTTCTATTTTTTGAGTATTTTCCATTTTCATTAGTAACAGCGTCCTAATGTGTTCTATTTTTGTTTACTGGATGTTGTGGTTTCTGTTTTTTTATAAACAAACCACAAAAACGTCCAAACGTAATTAGTAGGGACAAGGCACCATTACTGGTTTGTATCTTCTCTTAGATTTTTTTTGGATATTATTCTTTCAATTCACACAAGAATCAAGTTTTGAAGAAGTTTTTGATGACTAATTTTTTGCTTTAGTATTTTCTTCTGGCGATGATTGAATAATTAACAGTTCGTGGAAGTAATAATTAAATTAAAAAAATATAAAATTTATTAAGCATTAATATTCATGAATAAGCTAAATGTAAAATTTTCCATTTTCTGATCCAAACAACAATATCGTATCACTCTCCAATGGGTACCAAATAAATACTAAATAAGATAAATATAAGTTCGACTTTTGATTTATGTAAATATTGTTTATATCAGTTTTGATAAATTAATTTTCCCTTCGGCCTGGCCATAACCTACTTTTGAATAAAATATTTTGCATTTTTACTGAATTCATTTCCATGCAATCCAAGTAGATATAATTTTTTTTTCGTTTTTAAATTTTAATTACTTTCTCATGCCTTGCAAATGCCAACAAACTAAAATATGGACTCCCATTATAAAAGATATATCACAATAAGAATTAATCGTGAATTATTATTTTTTAAACTTCATTTGGGAGAAAAAAATAAACAAAAAACGGCATCTCTGTTTTACAAAATTTTATGGCAATGTTTTGTTTATCGCCATTTCCACGGATTCACATCATTTTTTTTTAATAACAACAGAGCGTAAACTGAGAAATCGTAATTTTTGGGTAATTAGATCAAAACGTGTGTATACAAATTTGGTGCATAGCAGCTTTTATTTTCTATTTGAATATTAGTTCGAGGTTCTTTAGCCCATTGTTACATAAAGACTGAAAAAAGTAAAGTGGAGCGTTATCTTAATTAATTTATGTTTTATATATAGAACCCTTGCAAATCGCAGTAAAAAACGTATAGCCTAGACAGACGACAACCTTAATTTGCATTAACAGCCTTAATTCAAATTAACTTGTACATTATCCTCATTTTTATGTGTTGTTAATGCACAAAATCAAACTGAATTTATACTGAATTAGGCAATTTCAATATGGCAATGCTGTCGAAAATTAATTGTTTCTTGTCAAATTTATTCATATTTATGAAAATAAAAATAAGAAATGAAGGCAAATTTCAACCATTTTTTGAATTGGGAGCTGTTTTCCTAAGATATATAGTTGCTATTCCTCCTTTATGTCATGTATCTATTTCCTAAAGATGTAATCCCGAAAAATATCAAAACAAATGTAAAAAAATTTCATACTACACTCAGACAAACAATTGTTTTGAAGCAAAAAACTGTTTCGTAAATGCAGAACCTCTCGTCTGTCAGGGGTAAATATTAATTCAAATTAAGAACTTTTTAATGCAAATTAAGGCTGTCGTCTGTCTATGGTATTAAACACTTGGAATTATCTGTATTAAAAATTTTTCGTTGTGGGTATTTAAATATAGCCTCAAATATATTATATTTGTTTTGTTTGTATTATATTTGTTTTGTTGTATAATTATTCATTTCAATTAATTTAAATTATTCAGATCAATTTTAATTTTAAGATTTCAGAATTCCTAATAAAGGAACAGTCGTACGATATTTTTAAAAATACGTAAGCACAATGAATTAATATTATATTCATTCAAAAAGTAGTATAGCCAATAATAAGGTCATATTAATGGGATTTCAAAATAATAATAACAAAAACATTATAAAACTTTACAAGTGTAAAAAACAAACAAGTTCACTTTCTATAGTCCTACATGTCTTTCTTAATACCAAATATACGATTATTGCACAAATTGTTATACATACATAATACATTAGTTCAAATCTCATATTTGTTAAAATCAGAGCCGTAAATATTCAATGAAATTCGTATAAAGTTTGCAAAATAGCCATTAAATAAACAAATAACCATATATTTATTTATTCAGTAAACATTTATTTCGGGTTAAATAACACTAACAAATCGGGCCGTTGAATGTCAATAAACTTTTGTGCCAAAACCCAAATAAACAAACAAAGAGTGAATGTGATGGGAAGTGCGAAAGCAAAAGACAAGCCAAACCAAACCAACCTAACCACCATGATACCTTTGTTGAGACCAAGTATTGGCATTACAGGCGAATCCGGATAAATGGGAAATATATTTAAGTGGCAAACCACGCATAAACACTACAAACAAAAAACTGAAATACGTTTTACAACAACTTACGATTTAATATTATTTCATCAATATCTAATAATAGGTAATTGAACTTCCAACTAACAATCAATCTAGGGTGAACTGTAAAAATATCCAGTAGCTGCATATTTTTGTCCAAGTCCACATTCTCAGATTGCGAAAACATGTAACCGTATTTGTATTTATTTTATTTTGTTAACAAAAAACCAAACTTGTTTTCATCTAACCAAACATGGCTGAAATGGTTGAACTAATGAAACAAAAATTAAATGTGAGATTTTTACTTCGGTCATCCTCGATTGGGTACAAAGATGAAAACATTTTAAATTGGTTTCCAGATTTTTATTGCGAAAATATCATTTTCGAACTAACCCTATAACAGCAACACAAATCCATGCCCCACAAACATTTATGCGGCACACTGCATTTATGGTTAGGAGAGCTTACGTAGCTACAAATAACAACATCTAACCATCTACAACCTACAACTTTCTTACATAATACCCGCTATGCTGTTTCAAGCGTTCGCTTGTCTCCTTGCTAATAGAGTAGTTTTTCGTGTGGTATTGAGAGTTAACATTAAGCAAATTATTTAAGCATAACTTCAACATAAAGCTGATAAAAGGTGGATAATAGTTACCGACAGACAAACAGACCCACTATATTTGCAGTTATGCTTGGCTGATGTTTTCGATAAATGATTTCCGCATTTTATGCGGTACCTTTCTTTTATTAAAATAACCGTTGACATTTGATTGACAGACAGATTGCGTGTTAGTGCAGCGGGGAAGGAATTTTGACGACAATCTGCTTGGTGTGGAATGTTTACATCGATGTATAAGTTTTTACGTCAACTTATATCAATTATCATCATAGAATAAATTTTTCTATGTTCGGGATGTGATACACCAGCTAGCATTTAATAAAAAATGTTATTAGTATAAACAATATACATTGAAGAATATCCGAATAAAGTACAAGTTGATTAGTAGGAGATCAGTTTATACAAATTTCAAGATTGAAACGTTTTTCAAAATTATATTGTAAGGAATATATTTTTACTATACTACTTTAATTTATATCTAAATTGTGTTGGTTGCTTTTATTCGGAAATCGTATTTGCAAATAAAGAAGAGATACTATTGAAAATCTGATATTGGTCATATTGAGAAAAAAACATTTATTTATTTAATCAATGAATGTTCATGACTAAACAAATATCAATTACTTTTTTCTGTAATGTTTATGATTGATTTGTTAAAAATATATTTGTATGAAATATTTATTTTTCCACATTTTTAATATGGAATATTACAATTTGTTCAATCTATTTTAGGAACTTCCACGTGCTGAAGCTCTATTGGGCCGTGAAAATGACAACGATGATGATTTGCAAAATCTCAAAAAGATCGAAGCCTCATCAAAGGCTGAAAGCAAACCTGAAAAGGCATCTGTCCCCGCCCCATCAGAGGAAGAATTCAACATGAACAAAGTCAATAGCGACAGCGAAGAAGCTGAAGTTATGCAAAAGTACCCCGGCAAAATTCCTTTGGAATTGGACTTAAGCGACTTGGCTGCTGCATTATTGCAAAACAATAAGAAGTATGAACAACTAATAACCAATACAAATATTCGCAATGTCGGGTAACAACAAAATCTCTTTTTTTTTTGCCTAGGTCCCGCATGAACTGTGTTGTCGAACGTAAACATGCCGAGGAACTTGTTGATACACCCTCCAAAACAGTTGCCCTGCCCTTCGGAATGAATTTGACCACCGAACCCAAAAAGGCACGCATTACCGGTGAACGCATTTCGATTTTCTGTGAAGGTGGCAACGAAAATAAGGATCAAGACTCCTCCAAGAGTTCTCGCAATGAAGATGACGATGAAAATAACGAAGATGAAATTGAATCAATTCGTCCTATGTTCTTCCCATACCAACGTGTACCAATTCCATTCGGGCCCATTCCCAATCGTTTCCCCTTAACCCATATGCCACAACGTATGGAACCAATGATGCAACGTCACCAACCCGAGCAGTTGCCTGGTTTCTTGCGTCAGATGCCTCCACCACCACCACCATTCCAACAATTGCCCATGCGTCCTCCCATGCCACCACAAGTAATGCAAGCTCCCCACCCAGAACCCCAACGCATTCTGCGCATCCAAGTCCACCAAATTCCATTGAGAGAACTTATCCATGTTGCCGATGATGTGCCTCAGCAAATCCAAACCCAACAGGTACCTCAACAAGCTCCTTTACCTCAGCAACCACCTCAACCTCAGCAACAACAACCTCAGCCACAACAAAATCAACCTCAACAAATGCAACAACAACCACAACGTCCTGAAATGCCATTCTTCCAAGTAAATAGTTTTAAAATTATTTTTCCAAAAATCAAGATTTAAAATCGATATTTTATTTCTCTTAGATCCAACGTATGCCCTTAGATTTGGCCTTGGAACGTGCCGGTATTACTGCTGAAGATTTGGCCAATATTCAACGTATGACTGAAGACCGCATCAACGAAGAATTCCGCCGTTTGGCCATTGATTCCGAGGAGGAAGACAACAGCAACAGTTCAGAAGATGATGATGAGCCTCAGATGCCCATGGCTGGCAATAACAACAGTGAACAAGAAAAATCTCAACAACAAGAAAGCCAACAATCCGAACAGGAATCTGAACAACAACAACGTCAAGCTCGGATGCAAGCTATGCCCATCCAAAGACTCATTTTGCAACCTTTGCCCGAACAACCCCGTGATACTATGACACCACCCATGCCTGATCGCCGTATGCCAATCGGTCATCCCGGTTGGGGTCGTAGCTTAGCTCAACCCGTTAGTATTCCCGTGCCAATGATGGATGCTCAAAACGATATGTCTGGTCATGATGATCAATCATCTTCCTCTTCGGCTGCTGATGAATCGGAAAGACCACATTGTAAGTATTGCAAAATATTAAAAATAAAATATCGCATTGGAGCATTTTATTCTAATTTAATTTTAAATGATGTCAATGTTCTTGCAATATTTTCACTTCAGTTATGTTTAAATTTAAATTGTATTTTATTTTTTTTTCATCTAAATTGCAATTATGGCTTTTAAATTATTTAGAATATGCTCTGGCCTCAATGCATAAATATTCGTAGTCAATTTTATAATTAAAAAAATATACATATATCGAATGTTATTAAACATTTAATTTATTTTTTAGAAATTGTTTTCTTTTTGTATTTCTTCTTACAGTTGTCCACCCACGTTCCGTTTAAGAATCTGGTTGTATTAAATCATCTGTGATGTTTCGCTGCTAAATCTAACAAAAGAAAACCATCATTATTGAGTCCACAAAAGTTCCACCTCATAGAAGAAGCACAAACGCGGACACAACTGCAGCTGCTTTTTTATTATTTTACAACATTTTTAAAATTAAAATTTGTTTTGGTTAATTGTATAAATGATTGGTCCATTTCGACAAACAAATAAATTTATCTATATACAAATGTAAAATTTATTATTTATGTTTTTTTTTTTTTTTGTTCTCTACTACGATGTGGAGACATATTTCTACTTGTATTAAATATGTATGTATGCCTGTTATTATATATATTTTTTCCTTTATATATTTTTTGTTCTTTTCCTCAAATCTGTAATAATTGTTGTTAATAATATTTAAATTTTTAAAGAAAAAAAGTAATGATCTTGTTTTGAAATATGTAAAATATAAAAAAAGAAAATACATTTTCGTAAGAAATTTAAAATAAAAAAATCTTTGTATTTGTAAATAAGAAAACCCCAAAAATCAATAAATCGATGTTTTATTTCGAAAATTCGGGCATTACGTTGGAATTAACTCAGCAGGGGTTTGCTGTTATCTTCTATAATTGTACCCTGTGGACTATAATGTCGGAATAAATAAAAAAAAATGCAAAAATAACCCTAATTTGTTCTGTTCATGTGACATATTTTTAACATTTAGTTTTTCATTCAAAGTCCAGTTGGGGATATCATTTAGATATTTATTCATTCACAAATCATACATTTATTTTTACCAATTTCGTAAAACTGTACTTACTTACCAAACCTCCAAAAGTATTAGTTTTTTTTAGCATATCATCATATTTGTAAGGTATAATCCTTGTGATTCTTTTTACACACGGAGTAGTTCAGCTTGCAATGTAATTGCACGTTGCACGTTGCAAGTGCATTTTTATAAATAGATATAGTTAGAACTGTTTGTACACCTTATAACCGCCTATAGTTGACAAAACATAGGAATGAAACATCGTTATTGAACTACTTTGTTAACGTACGCGTAAATGCAATTAGTTCTCGATATTTTTTCAAATCATGTGCAATGTTTATGCACTTAAAATCACAAAATTAATACAAATGTTTTATATACATTTTTTTGATGTGTTTTATTCGTTTTTTTTTTAATTATTTTACTATTGTTTACATAATATAAAAGAAAAAATACCTACACATAAACTTAAAAAAAATACATATTTATAATAACTAGTATGTATTTACATTGGGTTGAACGTTTACAAATTAACACAGAAACATAAAATCTTGTGGGCCTCAATTCGTTTATAGTTTTTATTGTTAATACATCGTAAATAGCAATTTGTTTTAAATTTTAATTTCGTTACAATTAAACAACCACTCTTATTATGTAATTCGTTTGTTTCATTTTTAAAATATGTATTTATGTAAGAACCTAAGATCATAACCAGGCATTTTGCATCTCCGATTTTTTTATTAATACTAATTTATGATTTTTTTTGCATTGTTTTAATATAGAAATATGGATGGGAAAGCAGCTTTGCATTATGTGACATAAATTCCAATCGACTCCTGTTTATTTTGTGTCTGGTGAAGGTTAATAGATAATATCTGTAATAAGAAGAATATGTTAAAAGTCTATAGTATCAATGATTTATTGTATTTATTTCAATTATTTTAAAAATATTTTGCCTACACTACTATTATGACAATATTAACTATTTGGCGAAGTGGGTTCTGCTGCCTCCATGGTCATTGCGGAGATAATAATAAACATTTGATTTCATCTATTGAAACAACCCATTGGCCATATAAAGATTCAATAGTGATAAAAATCAATATCATCAAAAATCTACGGAGTTATGACGAGCAATCAAGGAGAGAACTACAACCAATTAAGAAGATATTTGGTCGAATTTAAATACCGACGCAGACAATTGTGGACAAAATAAACAGCAACAACTAAGATAGTTATCAACAGAATTGCTTAATATTCACATTTTGTATTGATCAAGTTACCGGCAATGCATTTATGCCGGCTTGCCGGTAGTTGTTTACTAGATGCTTTAAAAACAAATACTAACATTATTACATTGGCCTCTTGTTCGAAATCCGAACAGAATGATTTAAAATCTATAAAGTAGTTCGATATTAAGTATATTATATTTTAATAATACATACCTTTTTCCATTATGGGCTGGCTTATTCTAATTCTTTTGGATGTCTGTCGGAGCTTTGGTAACAAAATAAAATGATCGTCAAGACACCTTCCCATTGCACCAACACTCGTTCGTAACATGTCGTCAAACCTCGTTTTAGCCATTTTCACACTGGTTGTCATCACAGCTTCCCCAGAATATGCAATTACCAACGCCGCTGTAGCATATAAGGAAAACGGCAGTCAAAAACACCAGGCTACAAATTGTGCATGGTTTCCTCTCCAGAAAGAAGCCGATCAGATAGAGGACAATAAACATGACATGTGTTTCGATTAGAGCATTGTTTGGCTTCGGAAGCAGAAGTACGGGCAACAGACATTGCAGGCAATACATAGTACCTTATCCGTTCCTCTCTCGCCACCTACGCACTTGCCACTGTTCTTGATGCAATTACGACAAATAATACGCTACCATTAAGTAGCCTTCGATCAGAACTTCTGCCGAGCACACTTTCCAATAAGGTGGATGTAATCTACTGCTGACTCAAGAACAACCCCTTTTACAACTCGTCACAATGGTAATGGTTCAAACTCCACCATATGCACCTCCACTACAGATTGTCAAACATTTTATATCCCAATTTTTTCGAAGCAAAAGAGAAAAGTCAATTTGTTTTGAATTGAATTCTGTATCTGCCAAAAGAACAAACAATTATTTTTTTTACTTTGTTTAACTTATTTTCGAGATTTACCAAAAAGAAAGACGAGTTACTTTCTGAGGAGATTAAGGGTAGCTCGCATTCATCAGTTTGACAATGACATAAATTACAACTCTGTGAAATGAGGTGAAAGCAAACGAGGCGAGGACTAACCTGTTACGAATGAAGGGGAAGCAAATGAGACGATGACATCGTCAGCTGTTTTACGACAACATAAGGAACTGATATTGACTATCATCTGATAACATACCAAAATTAACGTGGTGGGTGATACATAAAATTTTGAACGACTCAAACTGTAGTACATTTACATTGCACGGGATTTAGTAAATCTAATCGATTTAAAAGAGAAAGTTAAACGGCATATACATTAGAACTTTTTACCGGGTTAACCTACTTTATAAGGATTTATTTGACATATTTTCTAAGGAATTGGCAATTGAAACCCACTGGGTTAACGAAATCCGGTTAAATGTAAACGTACTATTATGATTGGTTTTGGTTTTTTCGGATGGTAGGGCTTGTCTCCCGGATCACTTCCCGAGATAATAATTGAATTAATAAAATACAAAAATCACACAATAGGAGTAAGTAAATTGAATTTCAACTGACAAATGAACCAAAACGATATAGTGCGATCCTCTAAAATTTGTTTGTTATTTCCCACAAATATCGATAGATTAATAAATAAATCATATTAAAATTTTAAAAGTGTCTGTAAGACAGGGCTGTCCACACTAATACATGCAAATGTGTGTGTTATTGTATTTGTTTCAAATACAAAATTTTCAAATTTATGTTTCTCTCTTATTAAACTGTGACAAAAATTTAAAAACTTGTATTTCAAATTTTAAGACCGAAAAACATTTTGTATTCAATGCAAATATGCTTGTTAATGATATATTTTCCTATATAAAGATAGATTTGCTTCTGCTTCGCCAATCGCCATTGTATTGGTCACATATTTCGACTTTTTCTGAACTAATTTTTGAAAAAAATGTCCTAATTTTTGACAAAAATGTCCTATTTTTTTCGTTCAGTGTATGAAAACAAATGTTCCTATTTTTATCATTGTGTGTGTGAGAGTTTTGACACACACCAACAGCTCATGGGGCCTATTTTGAGCACTGCTGCTGTAGGACTTTATTTTTGTCATTAATTTATCGAATCTTTTCGTTAATTAACGAAATTATATGCACATGGAAATTTGGTATTATCGCCTCTAATTATTTCGTAAAACTGTTAAGGGCTAAGCAGAACGATAAAACTTATGGTGTTTTTAGACGATATGTATTTTACATATGTGTGTCAAAATTAGCGGCATACACAAAAAATTTATTTTTTTGTTCAAATCGGCATATGTATTTTACATATGACATAACCTATAAACAAAAAAATCACTTTTATCTTTTCTTAAATCAACATCAAAATAATAATTTGTAATTGTTGCCTTTTCATCCTTTTTTTGAATTGCAATTGAAATAATTTCTTCCAACAATGTGTTTCATTCAAACAGCTGATTTCCTTATGTTTCACATACGAAAATAGAGCGCGTCCTATTCGGAAAAAAATACATATGTAATTGCATATCGTTTTGACACATTGAAATTTCCGTATGTTTCACATGACGAGTTCGATTTCCATATGTAAAAAAGTGACAGCACATATGTAAAATACATATCGTGTAGAAACACCATTAGTGTTATCGTTTCCGTGTGGCTGTTGTATTTTCCTTAAAACTTAACACGACGGATGACTCAACGCGAACATTCTGCTTAGCCCTGTACAGAATCGCACCACAGATAGGTCATCATCCAATCGTAGATTTCGTAAGCATGTCCGATGTAAACATACACTTAGTATTCGAGCAATCAATTTTGCCACCAAACAGCTGTTCAAACGGTCCTCGTCTTGTTTGCTTTCAACTTCATTCGCAATGGATGGTCCTCGGCTCGTTTGCTTTCGTCCCAGTTTACAGCGTTGTATTTTTGAGTTATAGTAGAGACTGCCGTGCCGCTTTACCAAATAACAACAAATATGTTTTTGTTTGGTGTTGTCTTTTGATACTTGGGTCAGCTTTAAACTTGATCTTAGAGCATTTACCAACAACTAATTAGCATAATCAAATGCACTAAAGTTTAGTACGAGTCGATAATAGACACGTTGTGTGAAACAAAGTGACCTGTCACATGTGAAACGTAGCCCAATACATATTTCTTCTTTCTGTGGCTGGATCCTTGCTTCCACTTCCAAGGATCACATAACGTCGTCAATATGTGGACAATAACTATAACAAAGAAACGATGGAAACAGTTTGCGATCGGAGCTGGAATTACACTCGTTGTAATCGTAATATTTTTCAAAATGCTTAATTTGTCTCTTATCAACAATGGCAATTCTGCAATGCCGGAAAGCCGACCAGAATTTCAAGCTATTTACGAACGCCAACAAAGACTTCTTGAGGATCAACGTCTGGAATTGCAGAGAACCAAAGAGGAATTGACGCGTCTGCAAGACGACCTACGCGCTCTGCAGTCAAACACACCTCGCAAGTACCCTAAAGTAAAATATCTGAATTATAAAAACCGAAAAAGGATCTTAATCACTGGAGGGGCTGGATTTGTCGGTTCCCATTTAGTCGACAACCTTATGTTGGCTGGTCACGAAGTGATTGTTGTTGACAACTTCTTCACAGGACGCAAACGCAACGTTGCTCACTGGCTGGGCCACGAAAACTTTGAACTAATCCATCATGACATTGTAAATCCATTGTTTATTGAAGTGGATGAAATCTATCATTTGGCATCGCCTGCCTCCCCACCGCACTATATGCTGAATCCTGTGAAGACTATCAAAACCAACACTATGGGCACAATAAATGTTTTAGGTTTAGCAAAGCGTGTAATGGCCAGAGTTTTGATAGCAAGTACTTCCGAGGTATATGGAGATCCTACAGTGCATCCGCAACCAGAAACATACTGGGGTCACGTAAACCCAATAGGACCACGAGCATGCTACGACGAGGGTAAACGAGTTTCGGAGACGCTGAGTTATGCGTATGCCAAGCAGGTGAGATTTAATTTTTTTCCAATATATTTTTTTATATGAGATTCAGATTTGAACTTAGCAGATTCCCCAATTTGAAAATTTCATTGGAAAACCAACAGGAAAATGTTACATATACACATTTTCCTGTTTGTTTTCCATGGACTTATTCATTATAATCTATCAAATTTTGGGCATATTCATGAACAAAGCAACAATATAGATAAAGTATATGCATGCATCCGATATCCGATATGGCTGATGTTTCTCTATTCCTTTTTATTTCAAAGAACCATTCCCCTATTTGCTATTTTCGACAAAATGTATGTGTGTATGGAATATATTGTTATCGGCCAGTAAGAAAAATAAACAAAAAATGGAAGATTTTATATTATATGTAAAGTAAACAAATACAAGTGCATTGTAACAAAACGAGCAACAGCGAAATCTGTAAAACCGTTTTTTATTGATATTAGACGTTGATTGTTTAGTGAATGCAGAGATTAAATAAATGTTCTTTTATTGCAGGAAAAAGTTCAAGTGCGGGTAGCTAGAATATTTAATACATACGGTCCTCGTATGCACATGAATGATGGTCGTGTTGTGTCGAATTTCATTCTTCAAGCCTTGCGAAATGAAACCATTACGGTTTATGGCAATGGCAAGCAGACACGTTCCTTTCAGTATGTCGATGATTTGGTCGACGGTCTTATTACCCTCATGGCATCAAATTATACGCAGCCGGTTAACTTGGGTAATCCTGTCGAGCATACAATCGAAGAATTTGCTTTCATCATTAAAGAGTTAGTAGGTGGTTCCAGTAAGGTGGAACGAACAGATGCAATGGAGGATGATCCTCAGCGTCGGAAACCCGATATAAGTAGAGCCAAAAAATACCTTAATTGGGAACCAAAAGTACCACTAAAAATGGGTCTTTTACGCACTATTGACTATTTCCGCAAGGAGCTGGAAAGATCTGATCGCTATGCTGCAAGTTCGAAGAAATATTTCGAATCGCACGATTTGGAACGCAGCCAAAAACACTACGAGTTTGATACTGACAATGGTTAGTGTTCAATGCACGGGAGAGAAAATGGGGAAGAAGTACTTAGCTTAGATTGTTTCCTTAATTCTCCGATAATAGACGACGAAATTCATAGTTTAAAACAACAAAAACAAAATCCTTGAAGCTAGTCTGTAATGTAAATAGAAGAAAACGAAGAAAGACACCGCCATTATCTATTGTAAATTTAAAATTGTTGCAATTACGTGTTCCAAGAAAGTCGCTTCTTCACAAACCAAGTCATTGGAATGATATACGTAAGATTTGAAAACTCCCATCACTAATTTGCAATACGAAATTTTTGTTATAATAATTTGTATGGATAAATTCATAAATAGAAATTATAAGAGCACTACTGTAAATTTTATGTAAGTAATTTATTTTATAAGAAAATATATACACAAAATAAAATTTTTAATGAAATTGAATCTTCAGCCACCCGTTACTATCGATACATTAAATATGAAACCAGTTGCCATCCATCGAGAATCTCTGGTTACTATTCGAATAAAAGAATTTCTATTTTATATTGGTGTTATTGCTTTATTTACAAATATTTTACACATAATATATGTATAGAAATTACCTTAAACATACTTCTACATACTAAATAGTTTGTGTAATTTCGGGTTTCCCTAAATGAAAACGACCAGAATTTCAATATTGTTGTCTTCTATTTTTTAAATATTACACAGATATCTTTGGATTTAAGAACTAGCAAAATGAAAATTAATTCTACAACAAAAACAACTCAAATCATTAATTATGTGAAGTTTACAAATAAACGAGGTAATCTAACCACTGCCAGTAATTATTTCCTTAATTAAGGATGACACATTAACAATAGTCCTACATATTTAAGTAGTTAAGTCTAGATGAGGGTATATAAAAATATCTCTTAATGAAACAAATGCTAAAATTGTGATGTTGTGAACTTTAAATCTCACCGCGATACTGTTTCTAACATTTCCATGAAAAGCTTCTTTAGAGATACTGAACCTTCGGTATTAACATTACGCCAAAAACGACGCAGAATATTATCAGCCTGACGCAGGGAGGGCAGTAGCAGCAGCAGTTGTTGTTGATGCGAAACAGCTGAACTGTGGCGCAACAAATAGACTACATCGTTAAGAGAATTCAATATTGAATCACGAAAGGCTCGCAAAGAGCTTTGATCGTCTAAGAGGATATCACAATTGGCTAAAATTAAAGCTTTTAGCAAATAATATTCCTCTCGACGGGGTGAGATGCGTTCCAAACGCTGTGCCACTTGAACACAATGATAATAGAATTCGGTGTAACCACATTCCTTGGCTAATAACTCATCCATCCAGACGTCGGAGGCAAAGCATAGTTTCCCATTAAATGGCAGCGAACGAAATATCAGCTGAAGAGTCAAGATTTCAGCCCAGGAAACTTGCAGCAGTTTCATTTGGTCATTAAGTGGTAGTTCTGTGAAACCAGGAATTTGCTTGGCCCAGCCAATTACATACACCAATTCCTTATCGTACAAATCGCTGAGCACACACAAAATATCATGAGCATCTGAGTTATTGTTTGTCAGCGAATTAAGCTGGAAAATGCATGTGGTGCTTGTATTGGGCGTCGACGTACTACCCGCTGTCGATGATGTCGGTGTGGATGGCGGTGTTGCATCGGCAGAATCAGCATTTGGCACAATGTTATTATGTTCACTCTTTATATTGGCGCCGGATGAGTTGGTTGAAGGTGTTGACGCATTTCCGGATTCTTCGTCAATTAATGAAGATGTCGAGTTGGCCCTATTCGTTTGAGTTGCCGGAGATTGAACGGAAAGTATATCGGGCTCATAATTGCTGAGGGCATCTAGAATTTTAACATCGCTCAGTGATGTAATGCTTGATTGGTAAAGTAATTGCATGGTTTGGTAAGAGTTGGAAACCGGATTTCGGCGATATTTTTGACGACCGCCACGTACTCGATCCAGACGTACTCCTTCCTAGAAATAAATTAAGAAGTGTCAGGCGATACAATAGGAGCGATTGATTCAAAACTTACCTTTAACATTCCCATGAGCAGGCATTTTTGAAATCGACATGCCTGACATGCTTTGCGCCTTCGCTTATTGATTTCGCACTCATTATTTGCAGGACAGGTATACTCAATGTTACCCTGTATTGTACGTTTGAAGAATGCCTTACAGGCTTCACAGCTTGCTACGCCGTAATGGAAGCCTGAGGCAACATCGCCGCACACTAAACATAGACGCCTCAATTCATCGCGTATTGATGAACTACCGGTTGACCCTGATTGAGTGGTACTTCCACCTGCCGAACCCATATTACCATCGTTATCGACAGCCGTATATGAGCCGTTGCTGTTGAGACTTAATGTTGTCGTTGAGCTGCACATTTGTCTTTCCGGCGAAACTGAAGGCGAAGATTTCATACCATTTCCACCATTGCTACTGGACGCAGCACTGTTTCTTCTATTGAGGACGCCCCCATTGCTGCTTGACCCTGCTGCTGGTGTGGTTGTTGTTGTTGATGATGCCGTAGCCGATGATGGGCTGAAGCAGTTAATGTTGCTGATATTTGTATTTGGTTCCTGAATTTCCTGTTTTATATTTAACACATTCATTCCGTCTGTCATTTTTTGTTTCTTTTCGTCAATATCTTAAATATCTCGTAAGTCGCACCTTGACTGAAATAACAAAAAACAATAAAAAAAAAAATTAGAAATGCATTCCGAACTTTACGAATATATACTATCGGTTGCCCAAATGTTTTCATATTATCAAAATTGGTTTAGTTCTGCCAACATGTTTAAATGTGCATCACCTATGGTAGGTTACCCACTACAATTTAAATATGCCCATTGTAATGCAATCACAGAAATGCAAAGCCATATATGTCTCTTCTTCTTCATTCTTGTTTTGACAAAGACAGCGAGAGAGTGGAGAGTGTGTATTGTGCGAACAACATGTGGGGAAGGAAAACTACAAATGTGCATTTAATCAAACTGAATCGGAATAGTATTTTTTGTTTTGTTCTGTAAAAGCAAAGAAAAAAGTAATGACATTTTATGAGTGTCATATTCATTCAGTGCCAGCGTAATATAAGGGGAAGTAAGACCTACTGGATATTTGGGATGGGTAGTATTAATGGTAATGTACCAACACAAAACTAACTAGAAGTGTTCAACGTACATATATGCATATTAAGTTATAATGAGGAGGACCAAATGCAAATATTCAATTGACTTGAATTATATTTTGACTATTTATTATTTTGACATCTCTATGTTAGCATTCCATCCCACTATATAATGTGCAAGTTAACGGCACATAGGTATTGTAATAAAATATTACAACAATACAGTATTAGCAGCCGCAGCGATGATAACAATTATAAACAACAGATAACAACAATGCCTGGAGAGAAATAAAGAAACGTATTCGCAAAAAAAATCATTGAAGTTTACCAAGCCAAAAGACAAACTTACCTCGAATAGTTTTATTCACACTACTGCAGTATCTACTATCAAGAATGCATCCCGTTAAATTTCCATTATTAACGACAAAACTTTAGAAATGCTATTCTTTGTTGTCACCCTTAGTAACAGTGGAACAGACAGGTTGTAGTATAGGTAGTGGTGGTCTGGTAGTAAACACATAAAACCACGCAGCTAAAGCATTCAAATATCACTTTTTATTATTGCATTCAAGAGGATGTGACGATTAATGCCAATTCGTACCGATGTTGAAACACTTTCACATTATTTTCATCATTGGAACTATTTTCTTGGCCTTTTTATTTTTCATCTATTTTTCTGAACAATTTTACAACCATTTCAAATCTACCCTCTTTTAGCATACAGAATATTGGATTCAATCTACTGACATTATTGTTCCCGCAAGCACTCCGTCTCTATCTCGTTAAAATAAATCAATAAAGTTCCACAGCATTTATTTTCCAAAATATAAGCAAATTTACGAAATCTTCCAAATGTCTAAATAAATAAAAAATTTACTTAATAGAATCGATTTTCAACTAATCGTTTAATCGAATGATGGCAAAGCAATCGATTGTGTTCGCTATGTCGATGTATTACAGTGGGCAACTTTAATAATCCCTGCGATTTGTGTATTTACACAAAGCACGAATTAAGTGGCCTGTTCCCGTACTGCAAGGATATACTACGACAACAACAAGAAAATAGTAAACTAATAGATTCTTGCAGTACGGAAACATACAAAGGATCTACAAATTTTTACTATTTTTTGCGATATCATAAAGAAAAAAGTGTAATCGTAGTAAAAAATAGTAGGTTTTTACAGTAGAGGAACACGCCTAATAATTACAATAACCCAAACAAAAGGTATAAACGATAACTTTTTTAGTAAAAATTACTCACTAAAGGGCTAAACAGAACGTTCGCGTTGAGCGTTTTTTGTTATCGCGTTAACGCACGCAAAAAGTTAAAATATATTTAACTTAAAAGCGCAGCGCGTTGAGCCATCCGTCGCGTTATATGTTATCGAAAATACAACAACCACATTGAAACTATAATCGGTAGTGTTATCGTTTCCTTAGCCCTTAAAGGGCTAAACAGAATGCTCGCATTGAGCCATCCGTCGCGTTATATGATATCGAAAATACAACAACCACAAGGAAACGATATGCGTTTGTGTTATCGTTTCCTTGTGGTTGTGGTTATTTTCGATAACACAAAACGCAACGCTTAAGGGCTAAGCAGAATGCTCGCGTTGAGCCATCCGTCGCGTTTTGTGTTATCGAAAATACAACAACCACAAGGAAACGATAACACTAACGCTTGAAGTTATTGTGCGCTGCGCTTCGAAGTTAAATATATTTTAACTTTTTGCGTGCGTTAACGCGATAACAAAAAACGCACAACGCGAACATTCTGCTTAGCCCTCTAGGCCTTTAAACGCGAAAATTCTGATTTGCCCTTTACAGTTCTGTGAAAAATTGTTGGTATCGATAACAACAACAAATTGTAATCAGACGATAAAAGTCTTTGCAATAATTTTTGTAATTTTTATTACATATCATGATCCAATAATAAGGTCGTCCGATAAAGCCAGATCATTTCACCCGAACAGTCAAAATGCTTTCAATTTTGACTTAATTGAGTGAAAACGTAAACAAAAAATTTGACAGCTGGGGGATTTTAATCCAAAATTGTCGATAATGATTGCTTCTGACACGACCTGTTTATTGGATCATGTTACATATGTTTGATAACCCAATAATTTATAGTGTCGTTCGATAACTTAAAAGTTCAGTAAATTAGAGTAAAGCGGTGTACACACTTTTGAATATTTGCTTTATATTTTGTTTATGCTTTTACTGGTCGACTTCCTAATTAGAGCACGAGGCAACCACAACATCGAAAACTTGAATTCGATAATTTAACTATCTATAAACTCAATCGTCGAACTTCATTAGGTAATATTAAAATCGCACTGGACATCCCTATGCCTTGACGTCGATATTACTACATAATCTCGATAAATAGATAAACAGAAAGTCGACGTTGATATCCCTAACTGGTACTTTCGGATTTCGACTTGACGGTTTTTGACAGATGAACAGAAACGACGATACAAAAACCTCCTCTCCGTTGATGAAGGTTTACTAAAAAAAAAAATAAAAAAGATACAAATTAAGAAGTTGTGTATTTCTGTGTGCTTGCAATAAAAAGGAAAATCGAGTATTTCACAATTAAAAAAAATGAAATAATTCGCGATAAAATAAAAATGTGATGTTTAATGTGAAACAGAAAAATTGTCGCCAGACAATTGAAAAAAAAAAAAAATATTAAAGCATACAAAGAATAGAAAAAAGGAAGTGGCAAATCGACAAATTTTTTAGAAAGCAGTGAAGAAAATTGTAGAAAATTAAGTCGGAAAAAATGTTTCTGTGGAAAAAGTGACGTGAAACATAAAAAACCAATGAGAATTTGAAATAAAATCTAGTCGGGAATTAATGAATACATCTGCAAGTGTGTGCAAGACGAATGACGGCTCGCTCCAGCGCGATGTCGCTGCAATCTTTTGGGCGTGTATTAATCTTGGAAAAGTGAAATAAAAAACACCATGGAATTCGGAAAAAATCTAAAACAAATATTTTTCGTGATTTTTTTAGTCGTACAACAATAATTGAGAAAAAGTGTTCTGCTGTCTATTAAAATGATTGCAACTTCCTTTTTGTGATCAGATTCTTGATTCGGTGTCTACTACACAAGAAGTAAGAAGTGGTGCGTACGACATAAACGGAAAACCAAGAAAAAGTGAAAAAACAACGACAGCAGCGGCAGTGACAACAACGACTCTAATTTCCAATCAGAGCAAATTAAAACAAAAACAAAAATGATTCTAACAACAGAGACCGGGCTGTGTCGTTTTTCTTCAAGGCAAAAATAGAGAACAGAATTAACAAAGTCTTGGAAAAACTATCGGAAGAAAATTTATCACAGCATACACTCCACTTTACTCTGCCTACCCAGAACAAACAGCTAACCACCCACCCACCACTGGCAGGCTGGCTCTCTCGCTCTCTGTCTTTGCATTACTCTCTCCGCGCGTAAAACGTACTGTGCAATTACTATACTACACACATTTACAAGTGAAGTGACAAAGCGAAGCGCAGCGCAGCGCCTTTTTGTGTACTCAATCATCCTTCGTGTAATCCTCTCCGTGTTTCGCCGTCGTCGCCGCGTGTGTCTATTGTTCTTGTTGCTGGCTGTTGTATATTGTGGTGTAGAAACGAAAAAAGAACGACAAAACAACAGATAGAATTATACAGAATTTATTTCAACGTTTCTTTTCGTATCTTTGCTTTGGAACGTGTATCCCCTGATTGGTAGTACCGACGACGACGACAACGAGGACAATGGGTGCTCAACAAGGCAAAGAACGTGGCTCACATTCGAGTGGCGGTCATGGTGGTACCGCCAGCTGTATTGGTGTGTCCAGTAGCAGTCCGGTCGGTTCTCATGGCCTGCCCGTAAATGCTTTAGGTGCTGGTTCCACATTGCGGGGCTCACGCATCAAATCGTCTGTACCACCAGCAGCTGTTGCTAGTGGTTTGCATCGTTCAGTGGGAGGTAGTGGTGTATCAACATCTTCATCATGTCATAATCCAAAGGATACTCGTTGTGCTCCAATCGGAATGAATATCTTTACGGAACATAATGGTAAGTCGGTGTTTTTTAATGGGACAATGGGTGTTCTAATTGGAATTGAAATGTCCAATTGGACACATTCATGTTCTAAAAAGTGAAAGGAGGGGAGTAAATATTGTTAATTTTATTTGTTTGACTTTCGTCTAGTCCTAACATGACATTTGCCGCACTTGCACTAATCTTCCTGATAACTAGTGTTATCATATGTTAAGATAAACTCTTTCAATTTTTCCGAGACTGTCAAGAAGTTTTTAATGTTGCATTGTTGTTGCTATGTGTTCCGATATAAATACCTTTTTTGAAGCTATTTTACGGACGTGTGAAGTATTTATAACAAATGTTTTTTAATTGTATTTTATTTTTCTATATTGCAGTCATGGTATAATAATAAAAGGTAACAGCAAGTGTTGTTGTACAAAAAACGATACAACAACCACATGGAAATTTGTTATTGTAAGTTCTACTAGTGTCAACTCATTTGACAGAAAAATGTAAACAAACAAACAAATTATCATCAAATTATTTTTATTTTGAAAATGGAATATTTTCGAATCCTCAAAATAAAAATTGAAAAAACTTGAATGAAAATCTATCAAATTTATATTTCTATCGCTTCCACATCGTTCCCTTAATTGAGCCATTGCCATATATATGTGTAACACATATGACAATGCTGGGAATAGCGAGTAATTCCTTCAAAAAAGATTTGCTTCCTCAAACTTTCCCAGCAGGCAGATTGAGTAAATTGAATACGGGAGCACATTAATAAAGAACAAATTCAAATTGTTTGCGTTCCCAATTTTCCTGTTGGGTGAATTTTAAAAACATAATTTGTCAAATTCATATTGACACTAGTATTACGTTGGAATCAAATCAGCTGGGATTTGCTGTTACCTTTTATAATTGTACCATGTATTGCAGTATAGATACAATTTAGAAATAAAATCTTTTTTTCTAAATGATCGTTTTTTGACAAATGTACTGAAACATCAATATGGATAAGTTACATATTATGTATTCCGGCCTCTACTTCACTAAAATTTTAATATTTAAAAATTTGTACATATACGAAACATTTGAAAGGCTTTCCTACGTAGTGTACGGGTTCAATCAGTTTTCAAATGACTATCTTAATCATAAATATATTTAATAAAAAGTGGGATATTTTTTGAACTTTGAAACCCCATATCTCGGGAAGTACTGATTGGCTTAACCCCCTTTTTAGTTTACAAATCTTGCATTCAATACAAATAAATGTTATGCTTGGTATTTTAATTTGGGATATATATATATATATATTTTTTTTAATTTGTAGACAGTTTGATTGAATTCCATTGAGAAATCATGTTTTGTTGTATATAATATTGAACACAAGAAACCTGGTATTAATGGTAATTTCTGTCTAATAAATGGACTTTGCTTGGTAAATTTTTTTATAGTTTTTTTTAATAATATTATTCAAGGATAATGTGTATTGTTTTTAAATGCCTTGTTAACCTCGATGTGAGGCTCCAGCGAAATTCTCATGCAGTTTATGTCGTTGGTCAGCTATGTACTTCGCTTTGTTACAAGAGACATTTGGGTATGAAAGGTTTTTTGTATAGGGAGAGGGGAGAATATCCCAACAAAAAACTAAGGAAACTGATGAGGATCAGTGGCGTGATCCGAAACTATAGTCTTCCCTGCCTTACCCCTCGGCAAACAATGCCATAAATTCCCCACTAATAAATAGTTGTTTTTTATAAAAACAACAAACTGGGATTCAGCCTGACTATTTTGCAAATTCAAGGATATTTTGAATACTAGTACAGGAACACTTATATACTATAAGCAAGGAAAGGAAAATGTTCTATTAGCACAGTTTACTATATTCCTATATATGTATATGAGTTAAACTTCTATATATATGCGATGGAGGTATAATGGGAAGCTTAGATTTAATGTTATGTTGTGCAAATTTTTGATTGAATCAAGTTCTTCTTCGAGACTTGTGATTTTTTACAAGTTAATTTTTACTGAAATTAGTTTTACCTCAACACCCATTATGTTTTCAATTTTTTTTATGTAATATGGGGAAAAAGATGAAATACACCTTGGATAGAAAACTAAATTTTAAGAGTAGCTGTGTTTTAGAGTAGCTGTGATGTAAGGTGGATTATTTGTAATTATATATAAATTTCCCATTAAAGTATAATTTGGCTTCAATTACAAAGTAAATGAAGATGAAAAAAAATATACCTATAACCAATTTTGTTGCACGATGCTATCCTAATATTAATGAAATCGTTTCATAAATATCGAGTCATTCATGTTGCAAGATTTATTTTTTCCTTACATATAAAATATCAAAATGTAAAATCATTACTTGAAATGTTACCACAATGTATAATAATTAAGTAGAAAAGGAAATATATTTCTAAACTCTTTATGTATGAATCACTACCCAGTAGTTCGAGTAACTGGTGATGAACTAGATACTTTACTAATTAAAATCATTAGTGAAATGTTACCACTGGTGAATTAAATAATTGGGAAAGTCAAACCAGTATACAATATATTTCGATAGTCGATTCATTATGTATTAATAACACTGAATTGGTATGATATGACAAAAAGGTAACTATATCATCAAGTAACTAGCTATATAACTATATAATAGCGACAATTGATATTTTTTGAACAACTGGGTAATGAAAAGGCTGAAATACATAAATAATCATAGTCTTGAAAAATTAGTTTTATGTAAATATGTAAAGTTTGGATAAAATTGGCTTCCCTTGCCATTTTTGTAAATAGTAAATAAAATTTTCTAACTCCTGAAAAAAAATCATAGCTAATAAGCACGAAAATTCATACAATAAAAATTAGTTTTAATTCACTTAGGAAACATTAGGAAATCACAATCCATGGGAACTTCATAACTATAAGAACGAGCAGCTCAGCTTAGCTAATAATGCTTAGAGCAGAAAACAGCAATACGAAAGAAAAATACATAGGGCAGCGACCGCACAAATAAAAAAGATTAGCGTTGGAAATATTTAACAAGAGCAGCGTGCAAAGGAAGTTCTCGCTGTGCGGAGAAGCAAAGAAATGAAACGGCATCTAATGTGAAATACAAAGCACACACATTAACATACATTTTTACAATTTGCGTTATTTTCTTTACCCAAGTCTGGTTCGAACCCATGAGAGTAACTGTGACAACATTTGAAAAAGTCACCGACAAGCTTTTTTTAATTTTTCAATTCATATTTTCTCCTCCTTTTTTGTGCCCCTGATTTTTTTTTTTTATTCTCAAGTCAATATCAGTAGCGAAATGGAAAACCAAAAACAACAACGACAACAAATAAATCATAAAAATGCAAATTATGTATATTTTGTTGTTGTTGTTTTTTTAAAGCCCAAAGAAAGAACTCAGAAGCGTGATATAGAACAACAAACATGTAAGGCAAGACGGCTTTGGAGACATAAACGATGACAGAAATACAGACGAACGAACGAACGGACGGACGGAAACGAAAGATGGTGGCTAAACTAAACTACTGGTGTGGTGTATACCAAGTGAGAGAACAAAACAATTCTGATAAAGTATGAAAGCAAAATACATACAGATATTATCGTGGAGTTCGTCAGATGATGTAGAAGAATACACAGAAAAGTCACAAAAAATGTTCATAATGGAATCTGAACACAGAGCCATGTCTGCCTAAAACAAAATAATGTATATGGTGATAATTACTTAGCATTTTTATTGATATATTTAGCATTTTTATTGATATATTTATAAATGTCTCAAATCAACTTACAAATATGAACAAATATGTGTGTTCAAACAAATGCAAATCTTTTTAAATCAATATTGAGTTTTAGAAGAATTCCTAACTCATAACTACACATTATATATATAAAATGTCAATGAGTCCCGGTTATCCTGAACAGATTAACTAAATCAGCATTCACTAAGTTATCATTTGAGGTGTTAAAATAAATTTCGTGCAATTTGTGTAGCACCATTATTTATATTGCAATAAAAATGTCTGATACTTATTTAAACATAATAACAGTACTATTTCATTTTAAATAAACTGTGTTTTTGTGTGTGTGGTTTTATTTGCTCTGATTTGTTGCTATTTTCAACATCATTTTATTAATAGCGACATTTTTAAGGCGTAAATAGAAATAAATTGCACTCAAGGCCCGGAAAAAGGTGTCGCTGTAGAATGCCAGAGACGAGCGGCTGTTGAAACTAGACTTAGTCACGCATATGATGAAATAGTACACAGGCATTTGCCTGGCCACATGAAAAGGAGAGAAAGAAAAACACAAACATATAATCATGACAACTGGAGCATTTACAGCAACAGATCATCAATTGGCGAACACCCCAACGAATTGTGGAAAATACGAATGTCATAATCACTCAAAGTAAAAATATTGGTCTGCGATGAAATAACAATAAAAACAAAATTTTGGAAGAACAATAAAATTTCTGTTTTGCGTTTCTCTACCGGCCTACAAGGATGCTTAAACCGTCTTAAACTGAATTATCCATATACGAATATCGTTAAACAAATCAACAACCAAAATTTTCTTGTAAATGTGATTTGTTGTGACCTCATGTGTAATTTATTGCCCCGCACCCTCCTTCGAATGGATAATATTACAGTTATCACATAATGGCGTTCTCAATTGGGGGCAATAATAATTTATTCTGCTTGACCAACAGTAGCTATAAATCACTTTCATTTGTGAATACATCCAAATCAATCAAATTTTACAAAAAGAGTAATAAAATGTTTTATGAAGATGTGGTTAGATGTGTGTGGCAATTAAATATTATTATTATTATAAATATTATAATACTATAAGTATTTTTATATGTCCAAATACAATTCCTTTGGTTATTTGCGGATATATTTTTCATAGACATTCGGATTCAATGATTTTTTGTACTTCTATTTCCTATTTTAAATTCCACATATCCTCAAGCGCAACAGTAAGATTTTGAATTC